TCTTTCCTATGCCAGAAGCCCCGTTCCCCTCCTGGTGTTCCTTTCTCTGCCGGGACATGTTAGAACGTCATTCCAAGAAGAGGGAGACAAGTCAAGCGTCGACTGCATAACCAAAGGAATAGGCCTCTCCTTTCTGGATATTTGCTGTTTGTGAAATGACCATGAAAAATAACAGCATGGGCTTCCATTCACATTGAGTCTGTGGCTTCTCCAAGTGTTAGGTCTATTTTACACAGTTGGAAGCTCATGCAACATTACAAAGCCTTTTCCTCTTACTTTGCTAGACCTTTGCGTGTTGCTACCCGGAGCTTAAATCTGCTCCCATACTGTCCTTACTGGTTGCTCCCTCTCAGTAAGAAGAGTATACACACTGGCCCTCTGACCACACCCTCCATGGCACTTGGTAACTGCAGTTGAATGGTCAGGCTCCGGGCAGGGCATTATCTTGGAGGCCAGCTGCTGCTTGGGAGGTGTGTCTCAGGTCCGACCTCTCCATCTGTTGGCCCTGCTGTTAATCTTTCTAGACAGACCTGGAACCACTTCCCATGAGTACAAGGGACTTGGGTGCAGCTTCTGCTTGGGCAGACAAGGACCCAGATACATGCTGGCAGTGTCAACCCAGTCCAGAATGTGGGCCACAGATTCTAGGGTCCTGGCATTCACGCTCCAGTTTCTTTTGTGTCTGAACCTACTCTCCATTTTTTTTTGCTGCCACCTTTCCCCCTTTGGTCATTAAGGGATAAAGGGCCCTCTGCACCTGTTCTGGCTCTTCCCCCCCATGGTTAGAATTCCTTTACAGGCCCACCTCCCTCTGGCTACAAGGCCTCTCCCCTCAACTTTGAAGTCCCCTCAGGTGAACAAGGCAGAGCTGTCTGTACCCCCTTTGCACCCCATCCCACCTGTACTCCTCTCAAAACTCAGGAATTTTGATTGCATCTGTGACTGACTGGTCTATTTCCCCAGAGGGTGAGAATCTAAGATGGGGCTGACCATCTCGGGCCACAGGCCCTGGCGTATGACATGAATCAGCAAACATTTGTCAATATAAAGAGAACTTTCCACTCAAACAGGGTCAGGGCTTTTTGAAGATCATTTGTAAGCTCCAGATCTGATTCCTGTAATGGAGAATAGCAACCTATACACCTGAGTGTATCCGAGTATACCCAGGCCACCTGTGTAACTGCTCACAGATTTAAGATAGCTTTTTCTTTGGTTCAAGCCAACTGCCTAGTATGATAGTATTGTGACTCACTTGCTTTTTCTGTCCTTATCCTTCCACATTTGTATACCTATTCCCTGAATCATTAAGCCTTAGGACATCAGGTTCCGGCCATTGTCAAATCTTTCAAGAAAAAAGCCTCAGGTCTATCGATCTTGAGGATAATAAGTTTCATTTAAACTAAGGATAACATCTTGGCTTTAGATGTATTTCAGCCTGACCTAAGGTGGAACAGTTCCACTGACCCCGGGACCAGACAGGATGACGCCATGGTTGATTCTAGGAATGGACACAATGGTCAATGACTCCAGCCCTATCTAATCAATAGCACCCATGACCCCAACTCCCTTAGTGTCCATGACTAAGAATGTTTCCCCATATAACCTATCCCTTCGAGATATCTGGGAGGCCAGGTCTTTGAGTGGAAGCTCCTGTGTCCCCAGGACTTGCAACTCTCTTAAAATAAATCTTTATTTTCTTTGCTGCAAAACCTGTACATGTCTCATTGGACTTAAACACACGTAGGCAGATGGATTGCTCCAGTAGCACCTGTGATCCCCTTAAAACCCCACTTTTCTTCCCCAAAAGCCCTTTGCCCCCTTATTGCCCCATTCATCCTTCAGTCCTCTGCCATGGGCTCTGCTGGGTGCTGGGAGCACAGTCCTTCGGAAGGCAGAAAGACAACATATAATTATTAAAAGCATGTTTAGTCCTATGAGGCAGTACAGGGTCCTCTGAGGGCCTGGCCCAGTAGGGAGGATCATGCTTGCCACCTGGAGGAAGTGACGGTGAAGTTTAGGAGGAACAAGCCTCTGAAGGGTAGACAGGCAGTGAGCAGTGTGTGAGGGCCTGAGGCGGGAAGGGGGCCTCACTGACAGCTGGACAACGAGAGGAGGAGCAGGTCTGGGGAGAAGGGGTTGTTGATCAGATTCTGATGTAGTGCATGAGACATCCAGATAGAGATATCTGGGGCAGGTGTTTACAAGACGCCCAGAAAAGGAGTATGGGTTGGAGATAAAGATCTAGCCAAGGAGACAGTAAGTAGCCATTGGAGAGGATGAGGCTGCCTGGGGAGAGTGGCAAGAAAAAGATCCGGGAGCCTAGGCCTGAGGCCTATGGATTCCCAACCCTCCCAGGTCAGCAGGCAGAGAGGCGCAGCTGGGAGGAAGGACAATGCAAGGATGGCGTCAAGGAGCCTAGGGAAGGGACATTCCATAGAGAACGTTCAGCTGAGTCAAGTCCTGTGGATTGTGTCCCTCGGTCAGAGCAGTTTCAGGGAGGCAGCTGGAGCTGAAGCCAGTGAGCCAAGCGCTGAGATGGACCAGGTCCTGTCCCAGGAGCTACACACACAGCGCTCAACAGGCATGTGAGTGCTTGTCAAACCGAGGTTCCACAGCCCATCTGCAGAGATGCTCCTGAGAACATGGCATCCTACGCGGTGACTTACAGCTGAACACAGGAGGAGTTCCCAGACTCTCCTTTCCTATAAAGGGTCAGTGTGGCCCAGTCCACCCACTCCAGTTAGGCTCAGGGTGAGAACCCAGGGCTTTTGAATCGACTCCAACCTCTTCCCCTCAGGCTGCCTGGTGACTCACCCCTCCTCGCCCACATCTTGTCCTCTCAGTTTATGCCTCGGGCTACCAGGAAAGGGAACTTCTGCACTCCCAACTTGGCCGACCCTGGCTGGCGAATATTCCTCCTCTGACTCCAAGCTGCCCATCTCCCTCAACTGAAAATCCTTTCCAACTCTCCCTTCCTCAGAAAGACTCAGAATAAAGCCAATTAACACTTCATCTTCCTCCCCGCAGGAAGCTGGCTGGAACTCATCCCCCCAACACACACACACACACACACACACACACACTTCCTACACAGACACATTCTTTATCATTTAACCTCAAAACTGCTGCTGGCCCCCACCTGCACCCACCCACCCCACTGTGAATCATCAGTTCAAATGAACAGGTAAAAGATAAGGAATCTCAGGGAGGCGGCCTGAGGTCCTGCCTTTGGTAGAAGTGGCTACAGGACACTGCTGACCTGAGCGCAGGCGGCAGCATTTAGGCCATAGGTCTTCTAAGGAGGTGGCCCTGCTATTACTCAACTAGGCTCAGAAACATCCATTTTAGCAATTCTTAAAAAAAACGCTGTTTGTTTTGCTTTACCTTTGTTTTCTTTTAAACATTCAATCCGATAAGATTATGTATACATATATCAAATCGCCATGATGTGCATTAAATATTTTGCAATTTTATTTGTTAATTAGACCTCGATTTTTAAAAATCTGATAAAATTTGGTCAGGCACTTCTTGCACAATTAGCTCTTTATCAGACCACTTCCTTGTTCTGTCTCAGTGTAGTTCCAAAAACAACAATTAAAGCAAGATTATTTTCAGAGACACATTCCTGGCCTGATCGGCCTAATAAATAAGTTTTAACTTTTAGACAGCACTGAGTTAAAAATACTAGCTAAGACTTTCCCCAACACAACATGGATTTTTAAAGAGTGGGCAGAGATTCCTGTCAGAGTACTTTGAATTTGGAAGGTATTTGTTATTCCAATCACCAAATCAGCTAGAAGAGCATGATTTCATAAGCGACATACCCGAGCTGGCAGTAAGAAAGCCTGGCTTAGGGCTGGTCAACAAGTTAATGGACAGAGGCCTCATATCAGGCACTGCTGGATTGGGAGCCGGGAGTACAAAAAAACAAGACTTGTTGCGCAAGGAGTGAGGTCTCATGAGCTCTGGCCTTGGGGGTAACAGAGAAGCAAACTTGAGCTTTGACCTATCCAAGGACTTAACTCCAGACTTGCCATGTGAGAAAACAAAAATAAAAATCACCAACTAGGTAGGCCACTTGCTGGTGGGTATTATTAGCTGTATCCAGAAGCACTGAGACTGAGATGATATGACAATGACCTGCTGGGCATGGGCATAGCAGCCTGTCGTCCATCATTCAACCTGCAGACAGAAACCCCACCCCTGGCACCGCTCCCAGGTCCAGTGTCACAGCAGTCAGTAAGGTCAGGGTAGGACACTACAGAGCAGGCCCACTTAACTCAAATGCCTAGAGGGGCAGCTCGCCCTGGGTGGTGCTCTCCACTGCTGCAGGCCTCCTGGCTCCACAGGGAGGAAAGTGGAGGGGATCCAAGTCTCCCCGTAGAGGAAGCACCTGCTACCACAGCCTCCTGTCCCCAGCACGTGACTATGCCTGTGGACGTGTGTGAATCTAAAGCAGCCCCGGTCCGCTGAGCACTCCTTTGCAGACTCATCATGCATCCCCAAGGCCAAGGGGAATGTTAAACATGCCTTTGCTCCCTATGCCAGTTGCTTATGGTTTCTTCCCCGAGAAACGTCTGCAGCATCACCCTCCACGTTCCTGTAGACAGTGTAATTACATGTGAAAACATCTTCCCCAACCAAACTGGCTGCGAACCAACCCCTGGATAGTAGGCACTGTGAGCATATAATAGATTATTAGTCAAATGAAAAAATGACTAGTATCAGAGTAATTCATTCATTCATCTAAGAAATGTTTACTGAGAATTTACTCCATGCAAAAGGTGAACAACACACAATTAACATCTAAATACTTGTTTATGGTTAAGACACTGATGAAAGATAGAGGAGGAAGAGAAGACCCTGGCCACACCTGGGCTCAGGGTGCCTCAACCTTCCTGCCCAATCAGGACTGGCCACCAACAGTGGCACAACCAAAATGGAAAGTGTCCAACTGCATGAGTTTCCAAGGTAGGAAAAGTGATCCCATTTCCTCTCTACGAGATTCGTTCAGGTTTTTGCCTCTGTCACCTTCCTCAGTAACCTTAACTCTTATATAACATAGGTTATAATGTCACTGATAAGACCTTTAATTCTTCTACAATGTACTTCTAGAGCTTTCAACTTTTTCACAGTTCCTTGTGTAGGTTAAGGAAGCTCGGGCAAGAAGAAAACAAATATTTCTCTCCTGATGCCACCTCTAATCAAAAGTGCCCAATATTTGTAAATATTGCCACATGCACTCTGTGATTGCTGGCCAAGTGTGGACCAGGGGTGACTGGGGAGGGCCAATGCCAGTTAGAGGTAGAGCAAGCCATAGTGCTGGACAAGATGAGAACTTTATGATTTGGAACCAAATAAAGCTTAAAGTTCACACACCCAGACATTACAAACCTTCAATTAGATCATCGCAGTCCAAGATCAAGCAGTACGTGACCAGTCAGCCAAGCCTCTTCCCTCAAGCTCCCTTCCTGCTTTCCTTCCGGTTCTTGTGGCCGAAGTTCCCATGGTAACGGGTGGGTTGTTCAGTTCTGAGGTTAGGTTATGGGGCCAAGTGAGTACCCTACTAGGCTAAAGCCTCTCCCTAGCAAAAGGCCTAAGAGGAGAACACAGCCCTGGGGCCAGGGTGTCTCCTGAGCTGAATTACTCCTTTCATTTCCTCCCAAATCCACAGGTCGCTCCCACAATAGCAGGGACAGGCAGGCAGATGCCCATTGTTTTCTAGTTCTCCATTTTTAACATTTTAATCGAAATCACTAAAAAAGGTTTAAAATTTTGGAAATAATGATCTTCTGACTGTGAAATTTCACTTTATTCCTCACATTTTAACTGCAGGCACTTTGTAATCTTAAATTTTATATAATCTTAAATTTTATATTTATTTCCTATAAATTTTAGGAAATACCCATAATTAGTGCACTATTTTTTACAGCTATTTAATAGCACTGAAGAGATCCGGGTTTAAAAAGATTTTCCAAAATTTTCTTTCTTATAATTAGGTTTTGTCCTCTTTTCTACAGGTGCTGAAGACTTGTCCTACTTCCTTAAGACTCTGACCCATGCCATAAATGGTACAGAAGGATCTGCTAAAAAAAGAACAGGGAAGCAGACACTCTCTAAAGTAGGTTTTGAAGTAACATCGGCAACCCAACTTTCTTTTTCCATAAATAACAGGACTAAAGGTAATGTTTCTCATTTGATAACGTTTTTAACAATTTCAAAGAGCACTTGGGTTGCCAGAGTTGGCTCCCCAGATGTAGAATTATCACCAGTGGTCACTCCTATCTACAGGGGATTAACTGCTATGTGGTTATTGAAGGCAGTTTTAATTCCAAATTTACTTTCTTCTGCTATCTACCCAACTGCCAAGAGGCCTCTGTTACCAGATGGTGCGTGATGGATGTCCCAGGGAGTATAAATTAACTTCAATTAAGCATGACCCAACATAAAAATAGTAAATCTGTTCAAATGACCACCCACATCTTCATGAGGGCAGTCCTCGACACTGAACATGGTTCATGTGTTTCTCCTCTCCTCCCTCATAACTCTTTCCAGAGAAAGGTTCCTAATAGGTCTGTAGGTCTGTAGGTAAAGCACCCTCAGCCACTTTGCCTCTGCTCTAAAACCTCCGACAGAATCTGAGGGGCATTTAAGGCCATGACATGTAGATATAGAAAAGCTTTACATCTCAGGTTCTTTCAGTAGTCTGTGCCCACCCCAATTGGCCTAATCCTCTCTTAGATCCTGCTCTGCTTATTCTAGAAATTCTCTCTGACCCCCTGAGTTTCCCCTACTATAACATGTACCATCATTTCTATGCTTTTTTCCAAGACCACGTTCAAATGCTACTCAAGTCAAAGGCTCCCTTTCATAGCTTGGGGGCCACAGTCTTTGGTTCATATCCTTTAATGGCACTTACCCAACACTGCTCGGCACTGGGGGTATTTATAGATTTCTTCTCTATTAGATTGTATAATGGCAGGTACTGGGTCTTGTTTTTCTTACCTTTCTCTGAGGACAGGAACTGCAAGACAAGTGAATGGGAGACTCACATAGGCCAACTGACTGGCCGCCTCGCTTTGGGCTTACATGCCCCTCTAGGAGGGCTGTGATTTTTGTGCAGGATCGAGTGAAAAACATAGTGTTCAGGACACCGTGCTTGTTGCAGCAACAAATTAAGAGGAAGCCTGGGCACCTACGATAGAGAACACACTTGGACCTTTCTTCCTGCATTGCTATCACCCCTCTGAGGCAGCTTGTCTGACAAGGCGAGTAGCTAGCTCAATGTGGAGTGCTTGTGAAATTCCGTTGTGGGCCAGGGTGTTCTGGCGTCCAGACTGTTTGAGACTACTGTTAATGACTGGACCACACCTTTCAGTTCCAGTCCCAAGGCACTAGTGCACCTGGCACTCCTGAAATCCCTGTAGGGCCTCCAGGACAGGAAACCTGAACCCATGTCTGGGTAGCCAGGGACTAGGCTAAGGTTTCTGCTGAAAGTGGAGTGGCAGCAGTGAACACAAGAAAATCTAGTTCCAGGGCTTCTCTCACCTAGCAGCGAGTTTAAGAACAGCGAAACGCTGCAGGCCTCCAGGGGGAGCTTCCGGGTATAAACTGAAACGGTCCCTAACACGGAAGACATGGAGGGCCCCAAGGAGGCAGGCCACTCCAGATATAGGTGGCAAGTTAAATAAGCTGGGGGACTTACATAGGAAGCTTGTCTCGGGCAGCAGCAAAAGGAGTAGATCTCCTATCTGCTCACTAGAATCTTAAAGTTTATACAGATGCCTTAACTACTCAATCACGAATATCGTCCCGAAGTTCTCAACACTACAGTAAGTAGTATGTACAAACTGCATCTCTGGGCAGCTTCTAGGACTCGGAGGCAAACAGAACGCACACTCCAAGGACAGGGGAGGGAGTGAGGAGCCTCCGACCGCCTGGGTGCAGCTCGCCAGTCAACCGGCCAACACACCCCCTTGATGACCTCCTCCAACACAGGGGCCGTGGGGCCTGCGATGACTCCTTGATATCGCGGGGCTGGACACAGAAAGGAGTGCCCGACAACACTTGGTACAGCCGGTAGGGCGGGAGGAAGTGGCCGCTCCTTCCTCGGCGTCCACCTCCTCTTCCGGCCCCCTCCCACCTTCCCAGCGCACCCGGGGGAGAGGGCGGGACGTGGGGGCGGGCCGGCGCTCAAGGCCCGGGCGCCAGGTGGGGCTTGGGCGCGCGCACGTGCGTACGTGCGTGCTTGCGTGCGTGGGCGCGGCCCACAGCACGCTGTGCGCGAGGCGGATGTCCGGGCCGGCTGGGCAGGGGCTACGGACGAGATGGCGGAAGGCGGAGGCTGCCGTGAGCGACCGGATGCGGAGACCCAGAAATCCGAGCTCGGGGCCTTGATGAGGACCACGCTTCAACGAGGGGCGCAGTGGTGAGCGCCGGTCCCTCCTCTCCGCCACGCAGGGTCGGGGGCCAGGGCTCTGGCCCTCAGGCCAAGCCCCTCATTTTCGTCTTGGGTAGGGGCCGGCCGGGGGCAATGATAGTGACCCTAAAAAGAGTAGCCGGACCCGCTCCCCTCAGGGGAGGGAGCCTGAGCTCGCTTCTGGGAAAGCGTGGGCGGGGCTGTAAGTCGTCCCAGCCCATTCGGAGCCCCAGTGGGCGGACCTGACGGGGGAAAGGGCTGCAGGATGGGGAACAGGGGAGTGCTCCCGGGCACCTTCAGGATAGGACAGCCCTTTTCCATCGAGGACTCGCTCTGTGACCTTGAGTGAAGGCGTCCACACTTCACAAACTCCAGTTTCTTATGTGAAAAACGTGGTAGCAATATTTGACACTCACCCTCCTCCCCTAGTGGGTTGAGGCGAAGATCAGTAGATACTTTGTAACTTGTAAACTGCAGAACAGATGTCAAGGTCAGAAGCTGAACGAATGTTTGAGAGCCCCAGATTATTTTGGTAGCAAATGTAAAAAATAATTGTGGCAGCAGTGTTACAGAGCTTAGATAGAAAGATGAAAAATCCCGCAGCAAGTCTGAGACAAGAGTTTTCTTAATAAATTGTTCAGAAGGGACGTTACTTCCACTAGTAGAGAGATTCCTGGGTGGTATATTGTGTTGGAGTAGAAAACAGGCTTGGCTTTGCATTTGATAGGATTGAGGTCCTTCTTTAAGAAACCATAGTGATATTGATAATGCCACTTACAGTGACAGGGGAATTGAGCAGAGAGGAGAGACATTGAGGTTAAGAGATACATTGATCAGGGAAGAGAGACATTGAGATTAGAAAGAATTCACATACAGCTTCGCAGTGTTCTTGAGCTAGCTGTGAAAGACAGGGCACTCAGTTACTTTTATCCTGCGTGGAATGCCCAGCAGAAACAGGAAGCTCGAGAAACTAAAATCACACAGTGTTTGGAAGGTATTGTTCAAGGGATATGGAGAGAAAAGAGCATTTTAGAAATTTGTATTTATGAATCCTTGTAGCCTCTGGAAAGGTGCCCGATCTCTTCTGAGGTTTGTTGGTTATAAAATTTGAAGGACTCACTAATATAATTCTTGTGCTTTGTTCCCCCCACAGAGGTTTTCTCCTCCTCTATCTTAATTGTAAATCCGCATAGTGATACTTTTAAAATATAACCAGATCAACTTGCATTTTGACGAGATAAATGTACCTATACACTATTATGCGTGTATATGTATGTATATGTATACACACATATCTATACCTATGTACACACACTTTTTTTGATACCTTGTTTGGTTCTTAAAGGAATACTGAACTGTGTGATGTTATCCCATTTTCAGAAAGATTAGTTTAATGCTGTTCATGTAAAGCAAAGCAGTGTAACCAAATTGTCCACGTGGATAAGGACTTCTATAAAGATCATTATGAAATTAGTGACTTGGTCGTTAGCAAACAAGATTTTAGCCATAGAAAGACTTCCTTTAAATTAACATTTTGAAGCTAATTGCGTCCTTCCTTTAATTTATTCATTCTTTCACCAATCATTTCACTTACTGGATATTTTCAGAAGTATCCATTGGCTCTCTGCCCTGTGGGGCCTGGCCCTGCTTGTTTTGAGAGTGTGTTTTGAAGTGGGGATTGCTTGTCCCCCAAGTGGAAAGACCATTAAAAAAATTAAGAGAGCTGCTGCAAAATCTTACAACCTCAGCTTTTCTGGTACAGTAAATTTTTGTCTGTCTCTAGGTATCTTATTGACAGCCGGTGGTTCAAACAGTGGAAGAAGTATGTGGGCTTCGACAGCTGGGATATGTACAATGTGGGTGAACACAACCTGTTTCCCGGCCCAATAGATAACTCTGGACTCTTTTCAGGTACAGTATCCTCTGCTTTTCCAACTTATATGTCCACCAGGCAATAGTCTGAGATTGTATTTATATGTAACATTATGACCTTAACTTTCCTCCTATGAGGGGATAGAAATAAGTGTCCTTGATTTATGTCTATAGTGGAAGTCTTTGCAGACCCTCAGGGAGAAATTAAGTTGCTTTTTTCCAAGAAGAACATGCTTCTAACATTTTAAATTTCTTTCTCTCTCTCTCCCTTTTTTTTTTGTTGCAAATTAGTTCTGCTAGAGATTTTACATTAGCATATGGAATAGAAATAAATAGAATATTTTGAAATTCATTTGGGATCTGAAATTTGGGAACCAGAATTTTCTGTTACCTTTGCAGAACACATTGTAGATCTGTTGACATTCATCGAGCATTTCTGTGATGGCTGTGCTTGTCATGAAGTAGTGTGAAGAGAGGTGGAAGGTCAGTAGAGTTACGATCACAATCAGCTCTCAATGGAAGAAGTGATTGAAAAGTGATATATGACGCACCTGAGCTTAGCTTCCACCTGTAGATGCACAGAGATGACAGCCAGTCTTTCGTAGTATTTGTTCTCCTTGGCTTTTACTCCCTTGCAAGCGGGACAGAGGTGATCTGTCTTTTGCGCCCTAAATCAGGGTAGCAGGAAGGCAGACAATACATGAGGCTTGATCTAACCTAAGACTAACTTGGGTGTTTTTAAAAATGAGCAGTGCTTCAGCTCAGACCTAGTTTTAGGGGAGTCAGAATGACATAATAGTGTCATATGCTTTGTTTCCTGGAGTAGGTCAGATGGTGGCATTATACCATGAAGTTGCCCTCAAGGGATAATTGCAAAATGTTTGCACTTTGTTCTCTCTCTCTCAAAGGAGCAATCTTAAGGCTTCTTATGGTAATAGTGATGAGAATCTTAGAGCTGGAGGGGCCCTTGGAAGTCATGTTGCATGACCTTCAGCTAAGGGCAAGCAAACCTGTAGTCCCCCAATTTGATGTACACGGCCTTGGCCATGTCACATGGCGTGAAACATTTGCTATGTGCTTTGGAAGTGAGAAGTACATTCCGTTCAAACCCTGGAACATTGACAGTGCAGGAATGACCTATCTCTGGCGAATGAGGGTCACCTTCTTAGTTGTAGGTGCTCAGTCACTTGCCAGTCTCCCTCTGGCTGCTTTCCACCTAGGTCATGGGAGTGGCCTGGAAGGGGCTCTTGGAAGTGTGGGAAGTTGGGGTAGAGCATATCCTTGCTGATGTTCATTTCCACCCTAGCCCCTCCTGGGCTTCGGATGGAATCCCTCTGCTTAGACCAAGCTGCATTTTCATTTTTCTTCTTTATTTGCCTCCCCATTGAAGAAATTTGTGGAGGCTCTATCCTCATTTCAACACCCCCGTGTGATGTTTAGCATGTTGCCCTTGGACTAATCCACTTTTAAATGAAAATTGTGAACTGCATTGAAAATTCCATTTATGTCGCCTGCGCCTGCACTGTAGTGTCAGAAGAATGATGTGTTTAGGAAAATTGTCGCTGAGCCTTAGAGAGGAAAGAGCTCTGGAAAACTGACATCCGTGGGGTTGATGATGCAGAAAGCTTGCTTTTCCCCTTTAACTGTCTTCTGGCTGCTGTTTGGCACAGTAGGGTGGCCATATCCGCTTAGTGCTCAGTGTGAGAAGTGAAGAAGGTGTGTCTCCCCAAGGAAGACATGAAGTGAATAACTTATGAGTTTTTGATTTGTAAATCACAGAAAAGTTTGGAGTTTAAGTATCAGTTTTTGAGGGGAAGTTCTTGGCACTCCTGGACCATCCTTCTGTTGCTGCACGGAAAAGGTGTGGTCTGTCAGTATTAACATTCATGCCACAGCTGCTGTGGAAAGTGGTCGGCTCATTACTGAGGACAACCCATCCCCGCCTTTTAAAAATTGTAATAAAATACACATAACAAAATTTATCATCTTAACCATTTTTAAGTGTACTGTTTAATAGTATTAAGTATATTCTCATTGGTGTACAATCTCTAGACTTCTTCATCTTTCAAAACCAAAACTCTGTACCCATTAAACAGTAACTACCTATCTCCACTCCCCCCAGCCCCTAGCGACCACTGTTCTACTTTTTTCTGAATCTGACTAATCACTTTAGCTATTTCATTTAAGTGGAATCACACAGAATTTGTGTTTCTGTGGCTTATTTAATGTAGCATAATGCCATCAAGGTTCATCCATGCCGTAGCATGTGGCAGAATTTCCTTTCTTTTAAAGACTGAATAATATTCCACTGTGTATATATACCATATCTCACCATTCATCTTTCTCTTTTACCTTGGTATTTCTGTTCTCCAAGGCTATTTAATTTCTTTACTTTTTCCTTGGAAATGAAAATGGCAGAGGTAGATCAGATCTCGAACGAAGGACAGAAGACCCAATGGCGTGGGGTGATTGGAAGTCCTTGTCACCTTATGAATGAATGCTGCTTATGGTTTTTATTCTTGGCATCCTCTGCCTTGAGTTACAGATGAGTTGCACCACCATGATACTTTCTGCTTTTCCAGTTTCATGGCTTCATTCGTCTGCAGGAGAATAGTGGCTTCCGCTTCTGCAGGAGTGGGCGTTGATGGGCACAGGCTTAGCCGAGAGGCTCCCTTGGCGGGAGGTGATCAGTCTTCCCTTGGTCCAGCCCCTTGGTCCTCCACTGAGGGAGTATGTTTCAGACCATAGATGTCCACTTCTGACTCCCAGTCCTGTGGTGGGTGTAGGATGGACACTCAGCATGTTAAAGAAGTTCTACCTCCACATGGGGGTGTCCAGCTGGGTTTTGACTTAGAGTGTTGAAAACGAAGTACTAAATGACTCTTGGTAAAATAAACTGAACTTCAGTGACTTGTTTGTTTGCTTTCTTTGCCTTTCGGGGGAAGATGATATCTGACTTTAATGCAGTTTTAGTATGTAGAATATTATGTTAAGTATTCATAATTAGCAATTTTGATTGTGGAATCTCTGAGCACTTTGAAAATGTAAATTAAGAGTTTTTCTCTTTTATCCTTCTTCCTCCAATTACAGAAGAAATACAAGTTCCTCATAAAATATTCAGGAAGCATGGCTAAAGACCAAGAGTAATCGGGTCTGTTCTGTGTTACGGGTCTGCTCTGTGTTATGGCTGGTGACAGAATTTTGTAATTTTGTATTCTTACAAATACTTTCCTGGTTTCTGAAAAACTCATAAGAATCATGTAAAACAAACATTTCTTGGGGAGAAGAGCAGTGACTTATGTGCTGTTTTCCTCTTTCAGATCCTGAGAGTCAGACCTTGAAAGAACATTTAATTGATGAGTTGGACTATGTGTTGGTCCCAACTGAGGCCTGGAATAAGTTGCTAAACTGGTATGGCTGCGTAGAAGGCCAGCAGCCCATCGTCAGAAAAGTAAGTACAAGAATCATCACACCTGCTGGTCAGCGTTTGCAACTGCTCCCTTGGGGACACTGACTGGTGCTGGGTTCTGGGGTACTGGACGTACCTAAGTGGTGGAATGGAGTCATTTGAGGCCTTGTTTCTGGTTCTTTAGAGTGCATTGTGGTTGTGAATTGTGGTGAGTGAGGCTGTTCACTCAGGATGTTACAGTGAGTGACCTTCAAACATCAGGGCGGCTCACTGGCTTGGGATGTGTCCAGCAACGCCATGAGAGCACTTTCTGGAAGGCTCTATGAGAGAAAGTTCACTTGGGGTCATGTGGACATACAGTAATGTACCGCTTCTTATTTATCTTACAACCTTGATGATAAGAGTCTTTTGCCACAGTATTGAGTATCTCAAAAAGCAAGTGTGTACCCAAGGCAGAATAGCCTCTTGAGGGAAGGCAGGCCCTGGGACAGAAACTCAGGTTGTTAACCCCTCTGGTAGATAGGACTCATGAGAAGACTACCACCCTGACTCCCACAGTTGTGCATTGTCCTGCCAGAGGGGCGGTCACGGGAGCTGCATGGCTGCTGATGGGTGGGCAGTGGGCCCACTTCTCTTTCTGCCTGGTGTGTCATTCCCTTAGCAATGTAGGAAAGAGCTGCAGTCCTGAGGCCATGCTTCTGAGAGTCACCATTCAGGGCCAGAACTGCTGCCTTTTTTTTTCAGCTCGAAATCTGGGACCAGGAGAGGGGTTAGGGATCAAAAGTTTAGGGGCATGCCAGCTTCCTGCAGACGGCCCCTCATGCCCACAGTGCTGTCATGTGGTGAGTGTGCCACCCAGGGCTCTAGCTGTATTCTCAGTCCTCGAATTCAGCAGACTCCCACAAGGGGAGGGAGGCATCACGATCCCCACTAAGAGGGGGACAGTGGCTTCCCTGTTACGTGGCGGCATTGCCAGCTTTGGTTCCATCATGGTGCTCTTGGTTGGTCCGCGTGAGTGGGAAATGATTTTGAAACCCCTAGGACGGATGCCGGTGGCCTTACAAATCTGTGCTTTTGATCCCCTGATCATTTAAGGAAACTGATTATCATGTGGGTTCTGCATTTTTGACACTGATGAACTATGGTGCTTCCAAGATGGCCCGGTGTGTCCACTGCACCTTCACCCACGCCTCTTGTTCACAGGTGGTGGAACATGGCCTGTTTGTCAAGCACTGCAAGGTGGAGGTATATTTGCTAGAACTGAAGCTCTGTGAGAACAGTGACCCCACCAATGTGCTGAGTTGCCATTTCAGCAAGGCAGACACCATCGGTGAGTAGCTGGGCTGCGTTCCAGGTGTCTAGTCAAGAGAATGCAGAGCATGTGGCTGATGGGAGGCCAGCTGGGGTGCCCTCCTCAGACTTGTCAGATAATCTCAGGTCACAGTTACCAGTCTCGACCTGGGTGCCTGGTCCCCAGGGCATTCATGTGGAGAGCTAAGCCTGGGAATTGTGTTCTGTAGAACACCAGGCATGGTCCTTACTTGTGTGACATGGTAATAAAGACGAAGAAATGCAGATTCAGAGAGCCTACAGTCACCGATTTAAAAAAATCTCAGTAAAAAAAAAAAAAAAAAAAATCAGGAAGTGGCAGAGCTGGTATTTGAAACCAGATTAGTCTTAACTCCGAAAATAAGTTTTCTCACTTTTCCGTGTTGCTTCTGTGCTAAAAATGGGACCCACATCATCAAAGAAGGAGAAGCGTAGGGAAGGTTTCTGGGATATGAGTGCAAGAGGATGCCCGTGGAAGGTGTTGGGACTTAGCAGTCACCAAGGGGGTGAAGTCAGAACTTCTGATCCAAAGCACCCTGTGACCATCTGAAAGGAAGGAGGGCGAGTATGAGCTCGCCGGGGCCGTCTGTAGCCCGCCTTCTGGAGAAAGCCCTGAGTGATGTTCCTCCCCACTCCCAGCAACCATCGAGAAGGAGATGCGGAAGCTGTTCAACATCCCTGCGGAGCGTGAGACACGGCTGTGGAACAAATACATGAGCAACACCTACGAGCAGCTGAGCAAGCTAGACAACACTGTCCAGGATGCCGGGCTGTACCAGGGCCAGGTAGGAGGGCCCAAGCCCCGCCCCACAGGCAGCTCTGCCCGGGCCGTGTGGCCGGACGCCTTCTGGTTCTGAGCGTGCCAGAAGTGAGGTGGTCTGCGCATTCCTCACATGGTTTTCCTTTTCACTCAGGTGCTAGTAATTGAGCCCCAGAATGAAGACGGCACATGGCCGAGGCAGACCCTGCAGTCAAAGTAAGTGAACTTTTCCCACCTGTGGCTGGACGCACAGGTGTAAGAGACACTTTTCTAAGGCAGTTACTTGTGCTAAGAGAAATTTTTCTTAATCAGATGAAAAGACATTCGATCTCATATCCACAGTCTGCAATCCTGGTTGAAGGCCCTGGCCTCTGGAAAGCAGCGTGCTTGGCCCTGTCTGAGGGAGAGCTGTCAGGGTGTGTGAACTAGGCTGCGAGCCTCTCCTTGTTGAGAACAAGAGGAGGAGGAGAAAGGGCCGGGCTCTGGGAGGGTGGCTCCTCCGCCAAGACTGGCTTTGTTTCTGTCAAGGGCTTTTATTTTCTCCACCTATAGGTAGAGGTTTTGATGGAAAAGAAGCAGCTCAGGCACAGGGGCTTGTATGACTTAAAGGCAGTAGTTTGATCCCACTCGACTCTTTTCTGGTGGCCTGTTCTTCCTTGTTGCCCTGGTCGCTTGCTGGGGGAATTACTCTGCTACCAAAATGAGACCCCAGGCACCTGTCTCAGGTGTTCATGTGCGGTGTGGAATTGTGCATGTCTTGAGAAGGGAACAGAGAGAAGCGATGGCTTTTTCTTATGATAGAAGATGGAGAAATAGTGTCTGTGTTATATAGTTATGGGGACAGTGTTGGTCTTTGCTCTCTTCCTTCAGTCAGGCCTTGGACTATGACCATTTCATAGTGATGAGCTCCTTTGAGAACCACAAAAGCTACAAGCTCTCTCTTGCGAAACATGCAAGAAGATAGAACATTTTGCCAGCAGTCTCCAAGGTTTTACAGACAGACACCTTGAAGCTCCAGTTAAGGAAACTCCGGTTACTAGTTCCTGAAAAGATGACACAGTGGCTATGGTAGGCTTACTGTCCCCCACCAGATGTCCATGTCCAGTGACTGTGTTAGGTTCCATTGCAGAAGGGACTTTGCAGCTCTGATGAAGGGTCTGGAGGTGGGAGGTCATCCTGGGTTATCTGAGCGGGCCCGTTGTGATCACAAGGGTCTTTGTAAATGAAAGAGGGAGGAAACATACAGTGTTTTAATATTAACAGTAATGGAAAAAAATTTTTTTAAAGAGAGAAACAGGAGAGTCAGAGAAGGAGCTGAGAGGATGGAAGCAGAGTCAGAGTGATGAAATGTCAGACTCCACTGCTGTGAGCCAGGGACCACGGGCGGCCTCTAGAAGTCCCCGGAGCCCCCACCAAGGAGCATAGCTCTGCCCACACCTTGATCTTAGCTCAGTGAGAGTCATTTCACACTTCTGACTTTCAAAATTGTAAGATAACTAATTTATGTTGTTTTAAGCCATTGAGTTTTGTGGTGATTTGTGACAGCAACAACAAGAAACAGACCACACTAACCCAGGCTGCTAATTCCCTTTTTGGAACTAAATGTGCCATAGAACTGAGAGAAAATAACAAAAACTGTAAGAACCTCTGGAGAGACAGAAGGTGGATTCCAGTGTGTGAGAGAGTTGACAGCTTGGAGCAGAAGAGACTGGTGTCCTGGCCTAGGGAGGCTGTTGTAGTTGTGTCCTATTTCTTCCCAGCTTTTCTTCTCCCCTTCCCTTCCACACCTTGAGGCCTAAGAGAACCTAGAGAAGGGAGAGAGCTTTTGGAAAAGAGCAGTGCCTCACTGAGATTCCGTGAAGGTTAGTCTCCCAGTAAAGTGTGTCCAATGGCAAATGAGCCAGTGGAGTTCCCAGGGCACATTTCCCTCCCCATCTCCCCAGTAGTGCCAGAGACTGTTCCAGATGCTGAGGATACAGCAGTAAACAAAGTCTCTGCCCTCAAGGTGCAGAAAGTAGGTAAACAAGAACAACACACATGTCCAGTGGCTTATAAGTACTGTGAAGTCAGGGAGGAAAATCAGGAAGTGCCAGACTTTGGAAAGGGGCAGATTTAAGCAGGATGATGGGGAGGTCCCACTGAGGCGCCATTTGAACGAGGTCATGCAGGAAGCGAGGGAATCAGCAGTGAGCGTGGTTATTAATGAGAATAACATTGTAAGGCATAGGTGACTGCAGCTGCAGAAGTTCTGAGGCAGAAGCAGGCCTGGTTGAAGACCAGCCCGAGTTTTTTGTGCCCGGAGCTAGGAGGGATGACAGGAAGGATGGGGGACGAGGCCTGAGAGGTAACGGTGTAGAAGGCCTTGTTATCCTTGTGAGACACTGAATTCCAGCTTTGCCTCTGGGCAAGGTAGGAAGCTTGTTGGAGGGGGTACAGGGAGTGGAAGAGTAATGTGATCTTACCTGATGAGCTCACAGGGAGCCATAACTAGAGGCTGATAAGTATTGTCGGAATCAAGGAAAGTGACAAATTGATAGCTCGTGTTGGTTGGAGCAGAGTTCATGTTTCCAACCATATAAGAGGGTAGAATAAGCATAATAAATACCCTTGAGAAGGAGGAAATGCGTACATGAAACAGGAACAAGGCGACATACTTGGGAACAAAATTCAGGAGATAGGTTGAGTGGCAGAATGGATGTATCTGAAGACTGAACAAGTCGAAAGGTCAGGTTGAAGAATTCTAGAAGGTATTCTGAAGGGATAAGGAGATGGAAGATAATGGAAGAAGAGTGTTATGGAGGATGGGAGTAGAAATCTCAGTATCCTGTAATAGGATTCTCAGGCAGAGAGGAAGTGCCAGGGGCAGGAGGAAGAAAATACCAGAAGTAATGACCGCGAGGTTTTCACAAATCATAAAAAATGAAAGCTCTTCAGTTTAAAGAATGCCAAACACGACAGATAAAAGCAAGCCCATTAGTGAAATTTAACAGCAAAAATGTAGATAAAATTCTAACTCTTTTTGAAAGAAAAAGTCACAATGGAATAAGAAGCAGATTAATATCAAACTCCTCAACAGCAATAATGGATACTTTTTCAGTGTCAAATAAAATAACTTTAAAACTAGAATTTAGGGTTTTCTAAACTGGAGCTTCAAGGTGTCTGTAAAACCCTAAACTATTACTTAAATGTAAAGATAAAATAGTCTTTTTCCTCTCGCATAAATGACCTTAGAAGGTTTTCCACACAGAGCTCCTCTTTGAAAACCTCTTGGAAGAAGTACTGTTAAAGAGTGGGGACCCTTGTGACCTCATAAGGTGGGAGAGAGAGTACGCAACTGGTGAAGTGTTCTTTGGACCAGAACAGCCAGGACTTTCTGACTTCGGAGTAAGCAAAGATTCCTTATATAAGACATAGCACTGCAAACCATAAAGGAGGAAACGTATAGAATGGGTGACTTAAATTAAGAACTTTGTTCTTCAAAAAGTAAAAAGGGAAACCACAGAGTGAGGAGATATTTGCAACACTTATATCTGACAGATTGCTTATCTCCAGAATTTCAAAGAAATGCCTCTAAGTCAGTGAGAAAAAGTCAGACGACTCAATTAGACAAACGGGTAAAAAAAACTTTTAACAGTCACTTTACAAAAGCGGATACCCAGATGTCTAGCAAGCATACGGAGAGGTGCCCAACCTCAGCAGGCATCTAGAATGGCAAATTAAAACCACAATACAGCTCTTCTACACACCCACCAGAATGGCTAAATGAGAGAGAGACGGACAGTACCAGTATTGAGGTGTGAAGCAACCCAGATCGTCGGACCCTGCTGATGGGGCATAAAAATTGGTATAATGATGATATGTTTGGTAACAAGTACTAAAGAGTTATGTGCACATGCTACAACTTGGCGATTCACTCCTGGACATACAACCAACAAGCATACATCCCACGTTCACTCAAAGATATGTTCGAAGACGTGACATTCACAACAGTGAACTGCTTGTCAGAGTTACAAAGTGGACTAACTCAAATGTCCGCCAGAAACAGAGTGCAGAGAGAAATCGTGTATGTGCACTGTGGATTCTGTGGCCACAGCAACACCGAGTCTCATAAACAATGTTGACTGAGAGAAGCTAGACGTAAAACGTGGCATACTCTGTAGGCAAAACTCATCTGTGGGGCTCAGGGTCATGATAGGGATTAGTTTTGGTAGGAATTGTGACTGAAGGGAGCATGAGGAGACACCTGGGGGCGGGCGGGACTGTCCTGTTTCTTGGTCCTAGTACTTGTTAGATGTATCACTAAGTAAAAATTTTTTGGTTTTTGTACTCTCATGACTTATATATTTCTCTATGTAAACACTTCAGTAAAAAGTTTAGTAGTAAAAACAGGAAAGGGTTAAGAAAGCAACCTATAGCAATGACAATCCAGAAGTGAATTCTGGGCACTTATAACATGGAAGACCAGGCGACACGAGCCAGAAAAGAGCAGAGAGAGATGAAAATGTCCCGAACTGCTTCTCTTGAGGGAAATGTAGATAGTTTTGTGTTTGTTTGTTTTGTTTTGTTTTTACGCCTACAGCACTTGGTCTTCCTAGGTGGTCGGTCTCCCATCCATGTACTAACCAGGCTTGACCCTGCTTAGCTTCCGAGATCAGACAGGATCAGGCGTGTTCAGGGTGGCATGCTGTAGACGAAATGTAGATGGTTTTAAGTTTAAATAATCGATGGGGAAAATAAAAATAGTTACGGATTCTAACAAGTTAATGGAGTAACTACCAGAAATATAAAAATGGCATTTATATCTTTGAAATACACTGTATTGTCAGGAAAGGTGTGGTGGCAGTTAAGAAAGACCTGAGAATCGGTATGTTGAGCAAGACTGATGCTTATATCTTTCTAAAAAGAATTTCTGAGGTGGGCAGTCCAGTGCTGGTATTCTTAGAAACCCAGCTACTCTGTCATGTTGCTCTCCTGTGTGTGGCTTCTATTCAGAGGTGGTTACCTAAGGGTCCGGGATGACTGCTGGAGCTGAAGCGGTTACACCTGCATTCAGGTAGCTAGGAGGAGGAGGGAGGAAGAAGCACATACGCCTTTCTTTTAAGAATTTTTCTCAGAAATCACACATAAAACCTCCCTTTACATCTCTTTGCTAATTATATGACCATACCTGGCTTCAAGGGAGGCTGGGAAATGCCTTTTAGCAGGGCAAAAAGTATCCAGCTAAAAATCAGGGTTCCTAAACTGAGAAGAAGGGGCAGAATAGCTATTGGGAGGTAGAAGGAAAAAAAACCACTGCTTTCTTCTCTACCAATACTTCTGGCCAGCATATGTGTGGGGGTTTTCCCCCATACTGACCAATTCTCTGACACCAGCCAGGTGTTCTAAAATTTGCTCAGGCCAGATGCTATCTACCTGGGGATCGCATCAGATCCCACAAGTTGGGGGCCCACAAGACTGCCTGTACTTTAGATGCCAGTCCCAAGTCCAGGTTGTTACCTGTGCTTCTAACCACCGACCATAAATTGGAGGTTCCCCTGACTCCTTCCTCCAGCTTGATAATTTGCTAGGTCACAAAACTCAGGAAACCGGTTTATTTACTAGATTACCAGTTTATTATGATAGGATATAACTCAGGAATAGGGAGATGGAAGA